GTAGGCAGTGAGGCCTTTTATTTAGATCTAGGAGAGTCATTTAGCAGGAGAACACCTAAATGGATAGAAAGATCAAAAGCAAATGTTGAACTAATGCATAGTTCTGTGTGTAAAACAGCCAGAAACTCATTTATATTCATTGGAGGAACTTACAAAAATAATCATAATCCAGAGAGAGAAAATCCACTTATTGAATATAACCATGAATATGATATATGGCTTTTACCTTATACTGAAGAACCTTTTGATTGGCGAATAAATACTCAATGTGTTTCGGATAATAAAGGAACTGCTTATATTTTTAGTGGATATACCCAATTTATTCCAACTAACAATATTATGCACATATTAGATACAGTTAATATGATTTGGTCAACAGGCTCAATAGAAAATGCACCATCATATAGACATGGATACACTTCTACTATGTTATCTAATGGTTTAATTGTATATATTGGAGGATGCAATGATTCTGAATGTATACCAACAAATCTGGTATTGATTATTTTGTTTAATGTTGAATTTTGTATATTTTAATTTTTTACTAGTTAATAATTTAATTTTTTTTTTTAGATAAATGTTTATGATACAAAAATTAATAAATGGTCTTTATTTGTAAGTTAAGAAAAAAATTATTTTGTTGTTGAGAATCAAATATTAATTAATTGTTGATATTGGTATTGATATTAGAGCACTAGAGGTCAAGATATTGGTTTTCGTGAATATCATTCTGCAGTCTTGGGTGAGAATTTCATGACTTTTTAAAAAATACATTAAATATTATATATTTATATATTGACAATTAATATTAAATATAGGACCAAATGATTCTATAATTATATTTGGTGGTTATAATTATCATAATCATAATCATGATTATAATTCGAGTTTTCTTTTCGCAAAGTATACTCATTCTTATCCATCATCATCTTTTAGAAATCAAATCTTAAACCAGGATCTTTTGAAATTCTTAAATTGATTGGCAAAGGAAACTTTGGAAAAGTATTTCAAGTTCGTAAAAAAGACACAAATCGTATTTATGCAATGAAAGTTCTTCACAAACAAGATTTGATCGAGCGTAGAGAAGTTGAACACACATTAGCTGAAAAAAATATTCTTATCAGAGCCGAATCTTGTCCATTCTTGGTTGGTTTGAAATTTTCTTTCCAAACTCGTACTCATCTCTACTTGGTCACTGATTTCATGAACGGTGGTGAATTGTTTTGGCATTTACAAAATGAAGTAAGACTCAGTGAAGAAAGGGCTAAATTCTATGCTGCTGAAATTGTTTTGGCTTTAGAACATTTACATAAATATAACATCGTCTATAGGTACATATTTATTTTTGATACACATCTATAATATATATATATATATTTAAAAAAAAAAACAAATAATTAATATTTATATTTTTATTCTTGCAGAGATCTTAAACCAGAAAATATACTACTTGATGCTACTGGTCATATAGCTCTTTGTGATTTTGGTCTTTGTAAAGAAAATTTAGCTACTGGACAAACAACAAATACCTTTTGTGGCACATCAGAATATCTTGCTCCTGAAGTATTAGCTGAATGCGGTTATGGTAAATCTGTTGACTGGTGGAGCTTAGGAATATTGTTCTATGAGATGATTGCCGGCTTCAGTCCTTTCTACACC